ATAATGTGCACCACCCTCTTCTGTCTACACCAGCAGTAGCCATATTCACTACTTATTTTTAACTTACACTACTTATAGTACTTTGGCTGACTTTCTTAGTTTTACTCCTTTCTCTACTCTAACCAACCTGTTGTTAGCTAATCCAAAAATCCTGTCGACTGCGCTAGTTGTAATGGACAGTGCCCTAAGAGCTAGTCATTGGAGTTTCGACTATACTGCCAATTAGACCAAATTTATTTAGTTGAGGATTGTAGTGGCAAGTAGAGCTCACAAGTCGCTAACTCGAGGTAATTTACAGTTAGAATAAAAAAAACAGATTCCAAGACTTAAATTAACTCTTCCAACATGGAGTCGGTCGATTTGACTGAGTCACGTGACCTTCTGTACTCGTTTAAAGTTGACATAAATTTAATACTTATAACTCTCTATGTATTGGGTATATCTTCACGAAATTTGGCAGTCTTTCAGTTAATATTACAAGTATTTCACATACAAAAAATCACATTTCTTAGTGAGGTACTTTTAGTAAAATAAAATAAAGTTTTGTCCATGAATATATTGAGTATTTGTTTTGAATAGTCCGTGTGCAAAGTAATTTTCATGTTAAAATTAACAATACTTTTTGTCATCTCAAAAATCTCAAATTTCTTTAGTGTAATCCTTAAAACCTCCTAAATGCATTTCAAACGTTTTTTTAAAATTAAATTCTCATATATGTTATTTTCTCTACCCTAATCTCAAAACTAGATTGGTCAATTCGACCGACCTCATAACCACAAAAAAACAACAACCTAAATTAACCTTCTTTTCTTTCTAGTATGACTTCAGATTGTAACCTGAAACTACATTTGTTTATCTTAAGTAGCTCTAAGTTCGTAACGTTATACATCTATTTATAATTAAATTCTATTGTTTTATTGTCCTTTCAACTTTATCTAACTGCTACCCGTGCCATTATAAGTTGTAAATCACTCGGGTAAGGTGCAGCTCACGTTACACTATCGAATTATACAGTGAGTGGTCACAAGTAAATAGACACCTAATTTTTCGTAATTTA